CTTCAAATAATGTCCCACAAGTTGATTTCTTATCATTTTCTCTTTGTCTCCTCTCAGAAACTCCTTTGCTAGTTTAGCACATCTCTTTTGTAAATCCAAGATAAGAAAGCTATCCAACTCACTCTTCTGATTTATTATTTGTATGTCCCCCTATAATTGTTAAGACATCAGTCAGTTTTATTTGTAAGTCCATTGTGGCATCTGTCATTTTAAAATCCGTTTTCAAATCCACATCATCTTTTTCCATATCACTCTTGTAGTCTGACATTTTTAAGTCCATTTTCAGATTCACATTCAGATCAGCCTCAGTCTCTATTTCATCCAGTAAAATCTATTCCTCTTCTGTAGCCTCTGTTAAATCCATTTTTATAGTGGCAAACAATCTTAAGAGTAATTTCTGGGTACATTGTTCCTAAATACCTTGCTTTCTTCTATAATCAAATATTGCTCCATTGCATTAATAGCTCTCATCTCCTCTAATTGTAATCTTTAGTTCTCTCTGGTTCCCTTTAGTCAATCTTTAGTCTCCTCTTATCATATGTTTATTTTCCAATCAACAAAACTTTTCCATGGGAGGACTTCTTATAGTTAATTTCAAAATCTTCATACATATTTTTATAAAATTTTAAACAACCCACAGGGAATATTTTTTCAAGTCCATCTCGCCTGTTAACTTTCCAAAATCAACATTCTAGTACCCCTTTTGCTGTTTTTCAAAAAAAACTTTTTTTCTTTTTAATCCTTAAAGTTACAAGAAACTTCTTTCATCAAGGATAGAAAGAAACTCTCCTGGCGTAATGGAAATTTACCTTCTGAAGGTTCTTAACATCCCTAACGTCAATAACAAGCAATTCCCTAAGGTGATACAGGATGGGAAGGCTCAGAGGGCCTCTGGGGCTTGAGACTCTAGACTTTCCACTCTACAATCTCAGCTGCTTCTACTATGGTTGGGAACAAAGGCTCACAGCCATGTGCCATTCTCATGTCTCCTTATCTTGAAGTAATGGGTGCTATCAAGTAAAGAAAGCTTTCCATGTCAGAGTTGGCATCGCTGAAATTTATCATGCCATGTATATAGGAGGTTTACATAACTACACTGTTGCATATATACAGATTGGATCAGAAGCATTTTCTCTGCAATTTCCGAGTCTGGACTGACAGACAGCAATACTTATGAACATGGTCTGGATTCAAGTTACTGCACTCCTGTGCAATATGGGCTTCCAGAATTATTAATTTGTCTTCTATTTATTGCTGTATTAAATATTTCAGATGCATTGGGCTACCACTGTCAGAACTCCCATCATAATAGAGGCTGGGAGTTGTAGCCTAATACATTGAACAGAACATCAGCCTGGAGAAAAT